AAGTCACGCGGACCAATCAATTCTAAGATTTTGCGTACAGAGGCATTTGTTCCTTTTAAAGTATTGTTCGGGGTGCTGCACAAAGTCACAAGGATCGATCATCCAATCATATCCAAGATTTTGTACTTCGTTGTACGTTGTACGTTGTACAAACTCCGTTCCTGGTATACACTACGTTGTGTACGTTGTACAAACTCCGTTCCTGGTATACACTACGTTGTACGTTGTACAAACTCCGTTCCTGGTATACCTACGTACTTCGTACTCCGTTCCTGGTATAAACTATAGTTTACTCTAAAAACTATGGTTTTAAAATAAACCTCAATTTATTTATTATAAATAATAGTTAACACCTCTATTCAGTAAATATAAAGACACGCATGTACATACTGATACGTAATTTTTCGAAAAAGCCATGGTTAATAAAGATATTTCTGAATATAATAAATATATCGATTCTACAAATATTGGATTCAAAGGTTTTGCAACAGACAGTAAATTACCTGTTGCTTTTAAATGTTTTAGTATCAACACAAATCTAAGTGGAGATATTATCAAAGATTTTGTAAACGAGGTATATTAAGACTTTGATTGCTTCCTATTACAGTACAATTACGTAACTAATTTTAAAACTCAATTAGCTTAAAATATTACGTAGCGGTAGTGTTTCTAACAATCAAAATCTTATTGCATTCTACGATGCCACGAAAGGTATATAAAAAAAATAAAATTTTGATTTTTAACATTTACAATTAATAAACAGCTATATATAAAAAAAAAAATCAAGAATAGAAGTTTTTTTTATTTTACGAAATTCAAATAATAATAATCATATCAAAAAAAATCTGTGCTTAATACTAATACATAGATAACAACAGATATTATTATATTTTACAATGTGCCAATGACGGAAATCTACAAGAATACCTAAAAACAAATTTTACAAGACTGCAATGGACAGATAAATTATGCATTGCTAAAGAAATAGCATTTGGACTTTTATTTTTACATAACAATTATATTATCCACAGTGACCTTGTAAGTACATGGATTTATGGATTTATGGGTATCATTTTTCTTAATTTACTAACATATTTTCATAATTTAGCATTCGAAGAATATTTTAATTCACAAAAATCAACCAAAAATTGCAGGTTTTGGACTATCAAAGCAGATAAACAAAAACTCCATGGCATCAAACTCAATTATTGTTCATGGAATGTCAATATATGCCGATAAAAAATCTGACGTTTATTGCTTTGGAGTAATCCTTTCGGAAATTTCAAGCGGAAGATCACCATTTCAAACTTTTGAATCAAAGATGGAAGAGCCCATAGATGATACACCTCCTCAATATAACATCCTTTACAATCAATGTTGGGACAACAATCCTGCCAGTCGTCCAGAAATAAAAGAAATTATCAATACTTTGAAACAACTTAATCCTAACGAAACTTTGAGTCAACACCATTTCATTGATACATTAACTCAAAATAGCGATATTTCCTCACAAGATCATTCAACTGTACCTATAAGTTCACACGATATTACGACATCTTCACTTTATTTACCTGATATAATATGTTCAAACATTTCGACGCCAGATTGTAGTATTGAAGATATGAAAAAACAATCAAGTGAATATTTTGTATCAACACAGCCATCCACACCATCTGTTAGTAGTTCTAATCGTACTACACCCAGCTCTAATCTATCGAGCCCTAATCCTAGTCATGTAATGGTAGTGCCCCTCAACCCACCAAATCAACCTGTCAGCCCTTCATCTTCTAATGTGGAAGTTCTTATTCCAGAATTAGTTCCTAATGGCGCTAATGATGCCAGCCCTGGTGTTCAAAATGTTTCTATTTCACAAACATCGACATTTTTGCAACCAATACCAACTCTGATAAAAGAGAAAATACCAGGAAATCGTATATTTGAAGATAAACCTAATCCTTGTTATGTGATTCCATCAGTTAATGTATTAATAGTAGACGGTCAATATTAACATAATATTAAAGCAGAAATTAACAAATGTTCTTATACAAATATAGAATTATAACATTATTATTATTATTATTATTATTATAGACAACCTAATTAATCAAGCAATTTTATCAAAATTTATGAGGCGGAAGAATATCAAATACGAATGTGCATATAATGGTCAAGAAGCCGTTGATAAATGGAAAAAGGGCGGATTCAATTTAATCTTGGTAAGTAATATGAAATATATGAATATCAGCAAATATTTATTTTAAACCTTATTTTAGATGGATATCAAAATGCCTGTAATGGATGGAATTGAAGCGACGAAGACAATTAGACGCCTAGAGAGATTACAAAAGACAGGCGTCTTTCCTTGTACACCACCGGCATTTCCGACCTCATCACCACCGTTATCAAATTCATCCTTTAAACCGACTTTCATAATAGCCTTAACAATAGCATCATCGTTAGCATCCGACAGGCAAGATATTCTGGCTGCAGGGTGTAATGATTTTCTAATCAAACCTATAAGGTTTAGATGGTTGGATAAAAAGATTAATGAACAAAGATGTACGCAAACCTTGATAGATTTTGAAGGGTGGAAAAGGAAATACAGATGAACGCATTTTTGATTTTTGGACCAGGTTTTTAAAATCGTGCCTGAGGGCACCCTGCCAAGGAGAAAAAAAAAAGTGATGTATTTAAGGTAGTGATTCAAAAGTACCCGACAGATTTTCACTGATCGACAGCGGTTGACCAATTAGATTACAAGATCGGGTGTAACGTGAATTAAAACAAAAAATAAAACCGTCTGCGCATTCGTAAAAAAATTCTTGCAAAATTTTAGTCTAAGACAATTATAAACCTGACCGTTTTATGTCTTTAAAAAAATTGCCGATCAGTGAAAATCTATCGGTGCCGCTGAGGTAGTGGGTCTGCTCGACTCTATCCATAGCCGGCATAGGCAAACAAGTCCCAGCCATCTATAAACTGAATAACCCCAAGCCGAGCTAAAGCAATAAAGATAACGCTATCTCACAAAACTGGACATATATCCATTCAATGTATGAATTCTGATATACATTTTCGTCATTACTCTTTTAAATTGGGGTGTGTAGTGTGAGCCCAGAACGTGATCAAAAAACCGGCAAAAACAACTACTCCAGTATATGTGAAATTTTTTGGCGTAAACAAAACAGATTTCAAGATCAGGTGTTTCGTTACACAATCAGGAAAATTCAAAACAAACGTTCGCTTTGTCTAAAATTGTTTATTTCTCAAAACGCAGCATAAGAAACCACCTATAGTGCTCTAACAAAAAGTTTTCCTTGAACAATTTTACTATTAAACCTTTTCTAACCCAAACATTAGCATAGACACTGACCCTAACCTAAATGAACTTTAAAGAATTTTTGTCCTCAAGTACTGCAGGGACACGGAAATATTATTTCGATTTAAATATCAATTTTAGTAAAATTTCGATTTATTTTGATAAAAATTTTAATATAATTCGCCTATTCAAAAGTAAAAATTTTGACCAACTCAAGGAAGATTTTTAATTTATTTATAATTCTATTTTTAAAATGAAAATTCTGAATTATTGTAATACAAAATATTAAGCATTCAAAGAGATTCTTTACTTAAATTTTCTATATTCACATTTAAAATATTGTTATAAACAGAAAAATTATATTCTATACTACATAAAGAAAGTGATAACCAAATATAATCTAAAGCAATTTGACTTAAACAAGGTGAAATATGTGAAATTTTTTGCTAAAACTCTTCTAAATTTGAATACTTAACAGAAAGTGAATTTAGATTACAATATACACCCATTTTTAAATAAGTTTATACATTGGATTTGAAAATTTATGAATCAAAATACTCAAAAAAGAATATCTTTAATTGAAGTAAGATTAATAAATATTGAATTAAATATTTAAGTTGTTTTAAAAAGTGAATGACAAGGGTGATTCAAAAAATAACATTAAATTTTTTAGAAGTAGCATTATAAGTTAATTTAAATATTGGTAAAATGTTTAGAATTAAAATTAAATTTTAAAAAAAGGAATTAAAGATTCACCTGAATTTTTTAATCATATTTTACTATTAATATAATTTTCTAATTTATTTAACTATTTTTCAATATATGGAAACAAAGAAAGTCATTCTTGTTAAATAAAGTTTAAATTTTTAATAAATTGTTGTATATAATTTTAATAAAAAACAAATAAATTTGTGTACAACTATTATTAGATTAATTAATAAAAAATACAGATAGCATTTTAATTGTTTTATTTAAATCTTTTTAATTCTTTTTTAAAAAAGTTTAAATATATTAATAATGATCATTTATTTAAAACACTTTTTTTTTGGTATTAAGATGACCTCTTGGGTCTTTTGATTTTATTTAATAATAGTAAATGTAGTTCAGTGAACCACTACAGAAAGAGTATACAATTGCCTATACATGTAACTTTTTTATATTACTTATTTAAGGAGTCCATCTAAAGTTCTTTACCAATTGCCATATTTAATACCTCTGCTTAGGATTCTACTTTAAACTCTCTGAACTTGCAAATCTGTTAACTTCAATGGGTCATATCTGATGCTCAGATCATCATCTTAATCTTAGAACTATTTTATTCTCAAGACAAATCTCTTAGTCTTCTGTACACATTTCTACAGTTGACCTAAGTATCATTATAGTAAAATCAACACTTGTGGTCAGGACTTAATCATTAAATTACTATGTTTTTGTGGGGTTCACTTAGACTCTAGCATCTATTTCATAGCATAACCTTGGTACTTTGTATACTCCTGTTTTTTCATCTATCTTTTTACCAAACTTCTAATTCAGATAGCTTATATAGAACTATGACCAGTTCATTAATATATCAGATTTGTTTGATATTATTTTCCTCTGATTTGTTCTGATAGCCTAGTTGGTGATACCTTCAAGACTTCTAACTAAGAGATTCTTGCCTATTTAGCTACTGTGACCAAATACTATGATCTTGGTATCTGTTTCTTTGAGCTAGTCTTTATAGTAAAGCTATCAAAGATTCAGTTATTTCTTTACTCAAATCTTTCCAAATAGACTTCTTGTTATTCAATTTCAATAGATTTATATAACTATAAAGACTTATCTAGTTGGTATACTACCTAATTGCCAGTTTACATTTCTTTATATAACTACAGATTTTGTTCCAAAGAACAATATCATATAACTTGTTACACAAATGTCCTATGACCTGCTAGACATGCTAGTATGACCATCATTACAGATATTCTAATTTAATTATTAGCAACAGTTACTATAATATGAATATTACATAGATGATTATCTAAATTTTCACTATTGATAAAATTTAAATACTCAACTTACTACTTGAAGGATTAACAACCTGATTACTTCACTAGGTTTTCAAACCTTTAAAACACTATTTTGAACTAAGAGTTTCAATGTTTATCTATATAAAAAAAATATTTATTGGTTTTTTAATATTATTTTTTACTAGAAACTTGATATATTTTCTATATTTTGCTTTTGTATATATAAATATTTTTAATATTTACTAATAAGGTTTTAAAAAATTTATTTGCAAAATCAACATACATGTTAATTAATTAAATAAAAATAAAAATTATAAAAATTAAATAAAAATTAAATAAATATATAACAATTTGATAATAATTATAAATATAATAATTTAAATTAAAAAATTTTCATTTAATTAGATTAAAAATATATGCTAAGCAGTATAAATATACAGATATTCTATTAAAAGAGTTACTAATATTGCAAGAAAATTTTGTTTCTTTTTATAAGTTATAAAATTCGAATAAAATTTTAGATATTTTAATTCAAAAAAAGTTATTTCAAATAGAAATAAGTTACTTATATATAAGGATATATATAATATTATATATTAAAAAATTTATATAAAATATTAATATAGTAGTTTTGAAATTGTAACAATTCTAGGCGGAACTACCCTAGAATTCCCTATTCATAGCGTAGCCGTTAGATAGTTCGCGTAACGTTGGATGTTACTACACTCGAAAGAGGCGTTGGATTTGGGCGAGTACTAAGTGTAAGTATTTCTTTATTAGATATACTGCGAGACCTGTTTTTATTACATTATAACCACATTGCTTATATACTTTTTCC